TGTTCATACTTGGCAGTCATTGAAACTCTATGTTCTAAGCGTGCTTGCGCTGCTGCTGTCTCACAGTTCTTGGCATTGAGTCGAGGGGCTTGCAAGAACAGTTGCCAGTTGCCTTCACGTCCATGTGTATACATGTTACATATATGCAATGTCACAATGCCTTAGCAATACACAGATGCTATAAAATGTCCTTACTAGTCTGTATAGTCTAACTCTGCCTTGGAGCATCCTAGCCAAGAGCGATGGCACAATCACTTTGGACTGTTCTAAGCGTGGGCTCCCCATATACATGGATTTCAAAATCATTGAGACAGCTCTGAACATCTCTAAGCCGGCTCTTCCTGTGTTCTAAGTGATGTGTGCTTATGTTCTTACACTTGCTTCATGTGTTCTGATTTGTTTGTTCTTGGTGTGTGCGTTTTTGTTCTAACCACATGCCTGTTTGTTTTTGTTGCTCTAAGTCATGAGTTGTGCCGTTTGGAAAAAAAACAATATTCTACTAAGAGTTTGTCCAATGCCTATTTTGTCAGTCACTGATGCCAAACACTCGTCACCCCAAACAGCATGCAAAGCCAACTTTGAGACTCAGCCGTAAAATGTGTTCTGGCGTCCCCCAACGGCACCGGTTTCCACGTCCCACGACGGTGTCGGCCAAGGCCCGCGAATCGGGTGACGTCCGGGCAAAAATCAATGGCGTACTCACCAAGGGCCTCCCACCTACTAGCGATGGCCTCCAGCCTAATAGCGATGGCCTCCAGCCGAAGAGCAACAATGGCCTCCAACCTAATAGCAATGGCCTCCCACCTACTAGCGATCGCCTGAGAGGGTGACGTTGGAGATGCTGATGTTGGGCAGTTTGTCCATCTCCATCTCTTCATTTGCTCCGTGGGGCGAGGGCCGAAGGAAGAGACATGTGGACATGTGGACAAGGATCTTCTCCAATGGACAGGATCTTCTCCCTTCCAATCTTTGCTCATTTTGAGGAAACTCGTTATCTATTTGGGGCCCTCTATAGAATGGTCCACACAAGGTTTCCGCCCGATGCCCATGTTGGCCATGTGGACTTGACTGACAATCCTTTGGATTTCCGATTACAGGGCGATCCCCAAGCTTCGCCGATGCACCACCCTTGTGACCAGGCAAGTAGTCTTACGCACTTGGCACTTGGATGAGTTTGGATGATTAAACATATATTTATCATGCTAGGAAAAGGATAAAGACTTGCTTTCCGAGCTTATTGAGAACTTGTTGATGCCTGTGCTATCAAGTTACCCTGGACTCGTGCGTGTAGGCTGTCACCCCAAATAAGAGCTCCGCAAAAAAGAGCTCCGCACATCGACTTCCCCCCATTCGCTCCGCCGTTCGCTCCGCCGCGTGCTTCGCCGCGCGCTTCGCCGCGTGCCTTCAACATGTCCCGGGTGTCAGGGTCTACCTGGCGCCCGTGCAGCGAGGACCCAGCGGGGGGCCCCCGCATGAAAGGCCGCCGTTTGAGTCACGGTGCTTTTTTTCCTTTCTTTCCAGCAGTTCGTAGCCAGTTGATTCTTGAGAAACACAGACCAGCAATTCAATCCGTAAATGTTTTGCTGTATATTTAAAAAAATAAAAATAAACATGCTGTCATTCTGCAACAAAACACCAGTCAAAGAGATGTGAGACGCAGCCCAGAAGAATTGCCTATGTGGTGTCTCCAACTTCGGTTCGAGGAAGTGGGGTGGAGTAACCGCGTACGTCTGGACCCGGGAAGCGATGATGCTGTACCGAAACCGGCAGAGAAACCACCCGCTGTCGCCACTTCTCGGACCCCTTCAGAAGCCAGATCCATCTGCCGAAGTTCCACAAGTTCCACCAGCATGTTGAAGGTGTTTGAGAACCGAAAAAGGAGGAGATGCAAGTACCGCCAGCCTTCGCTTGCCCTTCCGAAGACCCCCAAATCCAATCCTCCCGCTACCCCCAACACAAAAACTCGTTTTTGCCGCGGGCCAACTGCTTCCAGAGCGGTGTCTTCACCTCTGCGGCTTCGCGCCTGGATGTACTCCGTGTTCACCTCCGAACGCTCGGGCACGAACTCCATCCTCCTCTCGCGCTCCTCCTCTTGGAGCTTCAGCGAGATGCCACGCACGGGACCTCGGAGAGACTCGGAGAGAGGTCCAACGCGAAAGCCGTGCGGCGTTGGGGCGAAGGTGGGTTCGAAATGGGCAAAAATCCAAACAAACCGTTTCGGATGATTCTACAATCGATGCGGCATGGCGTATACCATTGACATGTATGTATAATATGTATATGATTATATATTGTATGTATTATTCTTTGATGGCAAACAAGACCGCTTCATCCATCAAACGTTTAACAAAAGAAACTCTAAACTTTAAACCCTTCGACGCAACCATCCGGTCAACGGCGGATTCGGAAACTAGGGTGGCCACGGATTCGCAAACTAGGCGCGGCGCGGATTCGGAAACTGGGATTCGGAAACTAGAACGAGTCTGAATCGGATATAGTTTCTGAATCGGATCTGTGAAATACGAATATGTCCACGCTACATCACCACAAACATTTCATTAGATCCCCACCCCACTCCCCAGTTTCTGAAATCAGCCGGTTTCTGATGAATCAGCAGTTTCTGAATCTGAATCGGCCAGTTTCTGAATCGGAACTAGTTTTCTGTTGATCGACGCTTCATCCATCGATGTTCGGCCGGTCCAACGCCACGGTCCAACACCCGTTGACCCGTTGGTCTGACCAATCCAAGGAATGTCGCGGCGGTCCGGCCTCGTCCGGCCACCGGTTCCGGACACGGTTTCCAGGGACTTCCCTCCAACCTAATTAATAGTTTCTATCTACTACGTAGTCGTTTCTTGTTACTAGTAATAATGGCCTCCAACCTAACAGCGATTTCCTCCAGCCTAATAGCAATGGCCTCCAACCTACTATATGATCTATATGTACAGAATGAGATCAGACTTGTTCGCTCCCGTATCTACGTGCAACATATTGTCTGTTCCCATGATCTCCCACGGGACCTGCAAAACGTGCAATCCGCCCAGAGGCCCTTCTGGATGCGCTTCATGAGGTGTGTCGTGAAGCCAGCGATCTTATTCCCTCAGCTGAGAAACTCAGCAGGGCAGTTCTCTGTGGGATACTGACTTCAATCTTTCTACACACCAAGCCCTGAAAGGGGATTCTAAGTCTCAATCAGTCTAATTCTAATTGAGTTGGTGGCCTATCTCATCACTCCGATCTTTCGCTTGGCGCTGTGGCGCTTCCACCGCTGCCGGAAAAGAATCGCGAAAAAGACCGCCGCCAGGGCCCCGCGTGTTTGCAACGTGGAGATAGGAGTTCTTTTGCGCCAGCATAGACCCCACATAGCATTGGAATCATTGCATTCAAGCTGTCGCGGCTTCTTCGCTCGTGTTTCATAACAAGCGGACACAGCAGCGGCACCCTGCAGCAGCCCACACAGCAGCGGCACCCTGTAGCGACACCCGCCCCCAAGCCCCAGCTACTAGTAACAGGTGCATCGCTACTAGTAACAAGTGCCTTACTAGTAGTAACAAGAAGCTACTAGGAACAAGTGCCTCGCTACTAGTAACACCCAAGCGAACACAGCAGCGGCACCGAGCAGCGGCACACAGCTGCCCTGCAGCGGCAAGCGCTCCAGTAGCCAGGCTCGAAAGCGCACACATGCAGCTCTCCGTATACTTAAGGTAAGAACCCCAATAGCTCTCGCTATCTGGAGAAAAAGCACCTTGCTACTAGTAGCTTCTTGTTACTAGTAGTAATGGCCTCCAACCTAATAGCGATGGCCTCCAACCTAATAGCGATGGCCTCCAACCTAATAGCTTCTAGCTACTAGTAGCTTCTTGTTATTAGCAGTAATGGCCTCCAACCTAGAAGCCTTTGTTACTTGTAGCTTCTTGTTACTAGGAGTTTCGGGTGACACAGTTCCCACCGGTCTCAGTATCTGTGGATCGGGCAACTTCGCCCAACCGCCTGAAACTTGTGAGAAAGACATCCAGAATACTAGTAGCGAGGCACTTGTTCCTAGTAGCTTCTTGTTACTACTAGTAAGGCACTTGTTACTAGTAGCGATGCACCTGTTACTAGTAGCTGGGGTCCAGAATACTTAAAAGGATCAAAAGGAGGACCCAATGGACCCTGTGGTCATCCCTTTCAGGTCCTCCCCAGTTGGACAAGGTGATGGTTACCCTCAGGTCCCTCTCTCCGCCGAGGTCTACTTCTTCCCGCTCTCCCTGTGTTTGGGTCCGCTCCACGGAGTTCCTCGCTGAGGTCCGCAGCCGCTTCGAAGGGATCGTGGCCACCTCCTCGGTGATCTTCTTGTTGATCCTCAGCGTGGCGAGGGCGTTGCCAACAAACACGCACGTGGTGAACATCGCGTTTCACTGCGCGGAGGGCTTCCGTGGCTTTCTTTTTCACCAAAGCACAGCACGCAATCAAATTCGAGTCTGTGGCATCCCACGGGACTTCAGCAAGGTTGCAAACTTGTTGCTGAAACCTGCTCGCAGTGACTGAATGAGGTAAAAAACACAACATCGAATGCTGCTCATCCCC